TTAAATACTAATTACATTATTTTATTCACATATTGTTTTTAGAATATATTAATTTTATTATTTAAACTTAGGTGTGTCGATTTATTATAAGTTGAGATAATTTTATTTTGTAGGTAGTTAAAATAAACAAAAATAAGGTACTTAATATTGATTTCTAGGCCCCGACTAGGCACTCTAGGCGCTAGGCTCTGGTCAAACGCCTAGCGGGCGCCTAGCGATTTTTAGAACACTAGTGATGAGCCCATGGACTTTTACAACCGATAGTACCCTTTGGCAGAACGATACGTTTTGGCAGTAAACATCTTTCGATAGATACCACTTGGACAAACGGTGTGATGTATAGTTATTAATATTATCCATCACAGAATTAATATCAACCATTTAAATAGCTAGGATTAAGGAGATTAACAATATTTGTACTCCTTAAAATAGGAACATGTGGACCACTTTAAATTATCTTGTTTATACATGATACAAGATAACGGAGAAAAAAAAATACTAACATTCTCCCACTTGGTCCATATGTTACTATATCCAAAACCACAATACAAAGAACATGAATCATGGCGATATGTCCTCTAAAATTGAGTATTATCTTCTATGTATTACAATGCACTTTGATCCATAAAAACTACCTTTTAACTTAATGAATAAACTCAATATTTATTTTAGGTCCAAACATAAATGATAATTCTCAAGATAAATATGCACAAATGAAGTCGAAAAATATCAATAAAATTTTCAATGTATCAAGTAACAAAAAATGTACGTACAACCAAATGTTACCTGCTGGAACCAAGTCCCATTCGTACTACATGACCCTTAAAATTCTTAGGTGGCATTCCCTTAGTCAAAGGATCAACAATCATTAATACAATGCTAATGTGCTCAATGACCACTTTTTCTTCTTTCACACGTTCCCTCACGGCTAAGTACTTGATGTGGATGTGTTTAATTCGACTTCCACTTTTATTATTCTTAGCTTTGAATACCGCAACTGAATTATCACAATGTAGTCTCAATGGCTTAGATATAGAATCAACAATTATAAGCCCAGTTATGAAACTCTTTAGCCATACACGATGACTAGTAGCTTCAAAACACGATATGAACTTAGCTTTCATTGTCGAGGTAGTGGTCAAGGTCTCTTTGACACTTCTCCAAGATATAGCACCGTTGGCAAACATGAAAATATATCCAGATGTGGATTTTCGTGAATCAATGCAGCCAGCAAAGTTAGAATCTGAGTAACCAGTCACCTCCAAAATTTCAATTCGTCTATACATGAGCATATAATCTTTTGTCCTTGAAGGTACCTTAGCACCTTCTTTGAATCCCTCCAATGGTCAATACCTGGATTACTCTGATATCTCCCTAACATCCCAACAACAAATGC